GGAACTCCCTACCACACATTGTTTCTGGGCCCACGATTGATTCTTTCAAGCACAAACTGGATGAATCATTGTCATGTATTGAATTGCGCTATCCATAGTAGTACACAAAAAATGAAGATTTATGACATTCCCCAATCTCTCTGTCATCGGTAAATCGACCTAGTTGTGCGAAATACCGTTTGGAATATGAAAATCCACCGCTCGTAAGTACTTACCAAGACAAAACTCTGACTTTGACTTCCAAAGTCGAATATCACTGGATTGACTTATGTTCGTGTTTTTCGCCCCTGTTACTTTAGTCTAACGTTCCGATAACCACAGACCCGACTGATCAGTCCGGGGATGAAGAAATGTTGCCCGATGAAGGAACCGTGCAATCACACGGAGCCTTAGGACCGAATCGTTCCATCGTTCCAATTCAGGCAGTGATTTCGTCCCAGTCCGCAACTCCGGCAAAAACAATAACTTGTAGCCTGTGTTTGGTACGTTTTGTTCAGTGCTTTACTGTTGTGAACTCGCTTTACCATCATGCCACGAAAGATATTCCTTGTTACCACATTTTCCATTGTGTTGCTTCCGTCATTTTCTTTTTCAATATACAGGAGGCGGTAGATGAGAAATTATCCAGTGGGATGGTTATTGGTGCCCATGTTTGCCGATCCTCTGTGCTCTCTTCTGATACCTCTGCGTGGTTGGAGGGTTTGAGCACGGTAGCCGTGTGTGATCGTCTTTCTTCCGGGCACAACACGAGGGAAATTTCTTCGAGAATGGAAACTGCGATGGAATTGGATCAATCGGAAGAATCAGAAGCAGGAGCTCCTGAAGCGTCAACAGTGATTGTGACAGCAAGAGACTCCTCCTTTCCACTAACTGCGAACGAAGAACGTGTGAGTCCAAAGCACTTGTATTCCCTCATAATCATGATCATCGTGGTGCGATTGCTCAATTGAAAAAAGTTGTTAATTTTGGGTTGATTATCAATCAGTGCGATTGCTGTGACGTGATGATGAAATGCGAGCTCTTCATCTATTCTCCAGTGTTTTTCTTTTGGACTGACCTTCATCCAGACTCTGCATTCACGCACCTTACTTACAAATAAATGAGTCAAATGCCAGCTCTTCAATTCCTTTTGGATAATCATGATCAAGAATGCGTTTTAATTAAATGCGTCCACTTTGCTGCGATTGTACTCATTCTACTCACATTTTCAGAAAATAGTCGTCAAAGAAGGTCGCTCATGTCAGCGCTAGCCTCCATAGTTATGACTCGGTTGGAAACATTCACAAACCGTTGTTTTGTTGTTTAAGAGGAATGGAGCTCGCGACAACTTCATCATTTCGAAAAAATCAAATCCTCTCGAATGAGTGGGTAGCTCAGTGCATAGTATGCTTGCGTCCTACCTGTGAGGTCCCGGGTTCGATCCCCACTTGGGTTGATGGATTCGCACTGCTGACGAGACCCAACCAGGTCAAAACAGCTGTCCAGTGCTTTCCAGCTTGTCTCATCTACACGACGAAGTCATTTATCTTTCTGTTTGAGCCGTAAGAATAGCGGAATAGAAACTCTCATTTTAGTTGATTGATTTCCTACTGTTTAATGCCAATACCGAGAAAATCAGAACATTCCTCTGTGTGAAGCGTTGTCCGTTACTAGGTTGGGTCGAAAAACTGCGAGGGGAGGTGATTTCTCATGACATGGGTTGAAGTCGGCAGTTGTTCCTTAGTACGTATCGATTTTAACTATAGTAAATTTCGCTGTTACAAACCTTAGTGCGCAGTAGGCTAGTTGAAATTCGCAGTCACAAGGATCCGCTGTTTCGTTCTGAGAACCGGTTGCATCTGGCCCGTGGCTTGATGTAATGAATCATATGGACCCGTAATTAATCGGCAAATTCGAACAGATTCCGATTGTTTTCCTGCAGGTTTGTTTGGTGTCTTCGCTGTGTTACAACGTGTCTCTATTCCAAGTCTTTTGGTTCTCATTGTTATCCTTGACTCCGTATTTTCCCTTTTCCAGTCATTGTATGGTTTCCTGGCAGCGGCTGCTACAACCGTGACTGCATTGGGTGCAGATCAGTTCGAGGAAGCAAAACTTTTGCTTCAGCGATTGTGCGCCAATCTGCCATTAAACATGGCTCTATGTCCTGCATGCAAGAGCGTTTCGGAACCGATCGAGGGCAGCGGTGAAAAATGTGCATGTATGTGTCTTGTAATCCACATTTTTCATCCTTTTTACATTTTCGCCAGTACATACTTCTACAACTGGGCCTAATCGGATCGTTTCTGGGTCACAGTAGGAACGGAGAACAATACCACTATTCGATCCCCAGTTGGGTCGATGCATTCGCACTGCTGATGAGAGCCAACCAGGTGGAAACAGCTGTCCTCGTTTTTCAACTCACGCCTCATTTACACGACGGATTCATCATACAAAACCACTAATAATGGTCGAAGTTAATCTTATCGTTATTACTATTATTAAGCAGTTCAAGCATCTGGATGGCATATGGGGCGTCCCTTCATGAGTGAATCCGACTTTTAGTGATTCGTATTGATGCCATGCTAAGTGATTAACCAGTGCCAGTACTTTAATAATTCAATTTCACTCGGTCAGATTCGGAAATACAGAATAACATTGTCGTATCTCGCTATCGACTCACATCCACATCGGCTCTGTGCACTGAACTGAACTAGCTAAACACATGGATCCCACGTTTCGTGCTTCCATACTCGACTACGTCGATGACTGCTGGTGAAATGGTTGAGGTGATCGTCACAGCAACCTCTGTGTTCCCCAATTCGTCTATGATTGATCATGGTTCCTGTTCCCAAGCATGGATTTTACAGCACTGAACGTTAAAGACGTTTTAAACCAAACAAGCCTGTTTTATGTGTATATCCCGCTAAGTTGCTGCCTTCCTAGTTTTCGTTCGCCGGTGTTTGCTATTTTTACCATAATTATCATAATCACCACTGTTATATGACTTTCCCGTACCTTCAGTAGGTGGTGCACGATATGGTACCACCCATTGTCCTTGTGCTTATTTTCCAATTAGTGTATTACTCGAAAATACTTTTCTGTATTCTAGCCTCATCTTTTCTCCCCTATGCTTGGCTCCATCGTAATATTAATATTTTTTGCTGCTTACTGTTGTTCCCAGGTCGTAAAAATCTTCGCCACCTTTTGGAAACATTGAAATCTAAGTTTGATCAATGGCACGCTCGTCCGTTGGTCGCCAGTCGAGACCCGATCGCGGATGAAGGGTCATTTATCAGTTGCTGTTCTCATCCGATGCATGCTGTTTGCAAATTGAAGTACGGTCGAGTGCTCAAGTCACGAGTGAATCATGTGAACCGGTAAGAGATCCGGTAAATAGCACTGAAAGACTGGAAAATAGTTTCATACGCACAGTGCAGTTTTAACGGTATCCAGCGATTGCACACAATTTATAAATTACCGAATAGGTTTAGCATAGCATTGTGATGCCCCTTATCGAGATATGATTCCGTAGTTGCTGTTTTGTTTACCTGCCAAGCATTTAATCTACTACATGCGTTTCATCCCGCTTTCATCAGTCTGAAGAGTTTTACTTCGTTCTTGTATTTCCATCTCGTATGTAGTCATCGGGTAGCCATGCAGTTAGTATACCAATTTCGTTGTCCGCTATGCAAGGCCATCTCAACTTTGGATCTGCCCGTGTTGGAGTCATTGCTGAACCAAATTCCACCCCAATGGCTTCAGAAACGTTTCTTAAGTGAAACCCTGGATCCCATTTTGTCCTGTGCTAGTCCTACCATTGCTGCACGTTCTCATTTCCAAACGTTGCCTTCATGGCTGGTACGTTTACGACAATGGCTGGATTATGCACCCCACCCATCCGAACGAACCGCGGATCTTCCTCAATCCGTACTCGATCAGGTATGTCTAATGTTCGATGGAAACGATTTTTAAACCACCAGTATTTACCTCCAAGATACTCATAGTTTGTTATTACTAACGCAGTACACGCAATCCAGTCCAGTACTTAACGATTGCCATGTAAGAAGCTTCGTGATCACAGGGTGTGTTGAATTCAACCATTTCGTGGTAATCTCAACAACCGTGTACATACATTCGGATCTTGTTTGGTTGAAAGAATGACAGGTTTGGGGACTTTCGAACACACACGGGGAAGAGAAATCAATCAATCAATCAATCCCTCGCGGATGAATTACGTCAATTGCATAAGGATAGCGATATTAATAGTGACACCTTTGCTTACCTCATCCCCCGAGGCTCTCAGCTACCTCGTATGTATGGATTCCTCAAAGCACACAAGGATGGTAATCTACTACGGTCCATACTGTCTATGATTGGAGCACGCCACCAAAAGTAAGCTCAATGGTTAGCCAAACTCATGCAACCAATCAAAGAAAGGTTTTCTAACTACAGTCCGAAAGACTCGTTTGACTTCGTTGAAAAAATCCGTAATCTTAATGTTTCTCAAAAACTCATGGTCTCAAATGATATTTGTTCCTTATTCACGAATGTTCATCTTTCTGAAACTGTGGACGTTGTCTGTTCATATGCCGACCAACTCAATATTCCAACGTATCATCATCGTACAGCGAAAGACAGTGAAGCGAACTTCACCAATAGCTGCCAAACTCGCAATGCAGGTCAGGTTGCTGGTAAAATTTAAGGTGGCCAAGAATTGGACCTTTTTCAAGGGATAGGGAAGAGGGTGAAGTGTATGCTCAACACAGAGTACACAATTGAACTCGGCATACATTCCGTTTCAAGCATTCTGGTCTGATAAGAAATGACAACAATAACGCCACTGCTGTCGGTTCGCTGCCATATCCCTCAATGTCGCCAACCAATCAGTTACGGAGTCTTCCGGTCCCCAACCTGAAAGGCGAGAGACACCTACTCTACCTAATGACTGTGCATTTCTTCATGCCTCGTCTCCACGTCATCTGTTGACCTCCACGTGGTTTCCTCCAGCCCGGATTAGCTACAGCGAATAAAGCGCGATGCAACAGACGATGGCTGGGCATACGTAATACGTGCCGTAGCCAACGAAGTCTACTAATCTGAATTCAGTGTGATAGCTGTTTTATCCCTGATTAACTCCCAAACACACGGCGGCTTACCTCCACGTTACTAACCCGTTCGCTCCATCCCACATTGGCTAAACTGTGTAAGCACCGAATGTCGAAAACCTCTAGTCGACGGATATCTTCTACTCGCAAATTTAAGATCTCACAACCGTCAACCAGAACTGAACGAAAGCTAACGCAATATACACGACCTTTCAACTTCCGTGAGACGTCGC